CGTGTGTGTGTGCGTGTGTGCGTGTGTGTGTGTGGGTGTGTGTGGGTGTGTGTGTGTGTGTGTGCGAGTGTGGGGGTGGGTGGGTGGGTGGGTGTGCGTGTGTGAGTGAGTGTGTCCAAGAAAACTGAAGATAGACAAATAAATTATTTCATACCAGAGTACACAAATGGTCACAACAACATAATTCATAATAGCCAGAAAGTGGAAACACTCTAAAAATTCAACAACTGGCTGGGTGTGGTGGCTTACACCTATAATCTTAGCACTAGGGAGGCTGGCTGGGGCAAGAGAACTACAAGTTTAAAACTAGACTGAGGTATTAAGGAAGCTCCAAACCACCTTGGGATACAAAGGAAGGACCTATCTCAGAGCCAAACAAAAACCCACTAACTAACAAGTGTGGTATATTCACATGATGGAATATTATTTAGTCATAAGGAGAGATTAAGTAATGACAGATACTACAATATGGAAAAACTTCAAAATCATTCTTAAAAGTCAGACACAAAAGGCTATATTATTTTAAATTCTACTTACATGAAACATTAAAAATAGGTAAATCCACAGAGACAGAAAGCAGATAAGCAGTTGCCAAGGACTGGGGAAGGCAAGGTGGGGGGTGAACGTATCATGAGCCTATAGTTCCCCATTTGGGATAATTAAATTGTTTTATAACCAGACAAACAATATTGCAAATATGCATACCACTTAATTCAGTGGTTTTCAATCTTCCTAATGCTAAGACCCTTTTAATACAGTTCTTCATGTTGTGATTCTAACCATAACATGATTTTTCTTGCTACTTCACAACTGTAATTTTACTACTATTATAAATCATGATGTAAACATTTTTTGGAGATAGAGCCTTGCCAAAGGGGCTGAGACCCACAGGTTGGGAACTGATAACGTTTATTATTCTATGTGAACCTTATCTCAATTGAAAAACACTGAAATGGAACGGCCTTATCTTTGGAAGCCTACAGAATTAAATTATCTACCATTTACTTTTTTAAAATTGCTTCTATAAACCACAAATACACTATACATTTTTAAACATTTACAGTAATGCTCTGTAAACAGTTTACAACTTAATAATGGCTTGCCAATTATTTTAAAGAGCATGTTTGAGATTTGGGTATCAATGAGCATATAACAGAATACACTTTATACATATATAGATATATCTCAAATCTAAAGAGGAAACTAAAAGAACTTTGTGTAGAAGAAAAAGCAAACATTAAGAACTGAAGTGGTGTGAGTAAAATGGAGAGAAAAAGAACTGCAGAAGCATAGTAATTCTAACTTCACCGTAATTTAGGACTGATCTAGCTCAAATTTCCCAACCAGAGTACCTGCCCGCTCCCAAGCCTCCTGTTCCCATTCCAAAGTAATTAAGCAATTATTATCTGGCAGAAATATACATACACCTAAGCACTTCATTTACAAAGAGTGAGTATTTTCCTCGAAAGGCCCTAACCTGTAGGCAAAGAACCACGTTCAATAAATGGCTGCTATGACAGGGAGAGAATCAGTAAGGACAAGGCCTCCGAGAGGGTATCCAATCTCAAGTGGCCAGCCCGAAACATTTGCATATGAGCAGCACTTAAAGGACTCAGTAGATTGTATTTATAGATAGATCTATAGGTGTGACAATAATAATGAAAGAAGAAGCCAGGCAGTTTAGAGGGAGTTTGGGAAAGACACTGGGAGACAATAGTGTGGAGTGGAAATAATGTAAATAGAGTATTCATATATAACAGTCTCGAAAAATAAGAAAATACATGTTTTCCAAAAACTAAACGGTTCCTTCGTGTTCCTAATTTACCTTTTTGCCACCAGAGGAGATTTTATCCATCTTCTCAGATTTAAACGAATCACTACTGCCTTTTTCTTTGCCTGAAGATTTTGATTTATTTTTCTCTTTGTCTTTCTCATTTGGATATTGAGACTCACATGGACTCTCACTTTTGTGTTTTGAAACCCCCACTAAAATTACAAAAGAGAATAATGAAAGGCTTTTCCAATGCACTCTGATGATTACTTCCAAGGGATTAGTAAATCTACCTACTTGTTCCATTTTCCTCTTTCCGCCTCTTTGTTATGTCCGGTGGCCCTTCGCGGTCATTGTTTGAGTGATCCTAGAACCAAGAATTGTGAACTACATTGATCAAGGGTTATGGTTTTTGTTTTGTTTTGAAGTATTACTTTTATACAAGAAAGACACCACTAACTAGCATTGGAGGAAATTTGTAGTACTAAATATTTGGTAAAATGGCATGAAAGAGATTGCTAAGCTGAAGTTCCTTATTAGTGTACAAATGCAAACACACTTAAGGGTAAATATACCAGTTAAAATTTGAAACAGACTTCTATGGAATAAAGCAGTATTTTCTAGAAGCAGAAAACACATGTACATGTACATGAAAAAGGCTTTCCAAGCTAATTTTTAAAAATTACAAACCCTTTTCCGCTCTTTCCTGTCCTTTTCATCTTTTTTCTCTCTTTCTCTGGATCTTTCCCTTGACTTGTCCAAATCTTTCTTGTCCATTTCTCTCTCCTTACTCTTGGACAGTGGTGGAGTATGATTAATGTAGAGCTGTTAAAATTAAGGCAATATTACTAAAGATTATTAGTTTTCCAGTATTGGCAGCCTCTGGTATTTTTGTTTATTAAATGAAAGATAATAGGTAACTGTATATAGTCAAAACTAGTTATCTGCTTATTTTATGAGAGCTACAATAAAAGAATGTGACACATATACAAAAGCTTTAATCCTGGGCCCTACAAAGATTCCCAATATTGCCTCAACTGACATTTCACAGTAAATTCACAAGCCAGCATTCTCCTTGTCCCTCTAGTATACAAGAGTTCATATGCGAAAAACAGCAACTGGATTTTTTTTCTCCTGTAAAAAAGACAAAACACAAATCCCTATGCAGTCACGGGTATCTGAAGGTCTAATCATCAAATAATAAGGAGTCAATAACAAAAGGCAAAAGGGTACAAATAAAACCTAGTCATGATTTTACAAGTAGTCCATTCTGCCTAGGTATAAACCAGGCAGTGATTATCTCAAAATATTTTATACCTATAAAGATGAATGCATATTCTCTCCTTCTGAAAGCACTGCAGCTCTATCAAATAATCACAACTGTGAATTCTATCCTACTGGTTCTCAATAGCTCCAGAAACCATCAGGTAAGCTGGGGGTGACTAAACTACTTGAAAGACTGAAAAATAACAGAAAAAATATTCTCTATGAAAAGGTCTATCGGTAATAAAATAGCCAAACATCAAGATTATTCTAAATGAGAGAAAAATCCAACTTATGGGAGTTGGAAATATAGAAAGCAACTATAAAAGAAAATGTTTAGGAAGTAGGAAATAATCAATTCCCTAGCTTTATGACATTTATAACTGGGACAAGTCTATGTTGCATTTGGATATATTCAAAGAATAATAAATAGAACTCATAATGTAACTACACAATTCTAGATATACCCTACAAATAAACAAAATAACTACACAATTCTAGATATACCCTACAAATAAACAGAATAGTGACTTGGAAGGTAAATATTTTACAGTAAGGAATACTTTCATAATCAAAGAAATGCAAGAAAAAGGACTATCAATTTAAAGTTTAAATACTTATTCTTTCAATACCACCAAACATTTTCAATTCTGTTGCCTGAGAAATATTATCAAAGCAACATAGAGTGGACTCTTAAAAAAAATTATGGTTAAAAGTTGAGGAATGACTGAAACAGTCAAAGTGTTCATCAATAGTAAAATTAAGCGAATAATCTATAGTCATAAAAGTCCCTATCTAAAGAATAGCATTGCTAAATAAGCCTTCAATGACACTTAAAATTCTAATTGCGAAATTTATTCTCATCTTCTTTTCCCACATCTTAATATTATTTATGAACTAGATAAGATAAACTCAATAATAATATATTATTGAAACACTCAACAATTTCCTTTAAGAAAGTACTGCTTCATTTCTCACACTCCAAGAGTAGCTTCATCCCCCAAATGACATTTTTATCCAGGCCTACTTGACTTCTGTAGAGTTGAGAAACTTCTCTAGGATTTCTGGCATTAATAATCCAATATTTCATTCTTGACATAAAATGACAAATAGTTCAACTTTCTGCATATATACAATCAGAAATCCTAGGTTAAGAAATACATCCACTCATTTCCTCCTCTGCCTTTCTACTAAGTGTGACCATAACACCTTTTTGACAAAGCAGTTTCTCATCCCCTACTGAGTGGGATTCATACTCCTTTGTCTAGGCATCTTCACAAGTATACCCTACCATACAGAAGGCTAATGCTCTGTGGCTATCAGTAGCCCCTAACTTTTGTCCCTATGAATAACTACCTTTATCTTAAAATCATTGGTTTTTCAAAGATAGATCGAGAGCTATCAGCACCTACACTATCTCTCAGCTCCGCAATTCACTTTCTAGTGGACTCTTTTTATTTTATTTACTTGCCATTTCTGTAATGGGTTTTCTAAGTTACTTATTTCTGCACATAATCACTTCTGGCACAGAAGAAGAACTGAGTGCCTTTTCCACTTTTATTCAATTCTTTGAGACTAGTACATACAATGAGTGTTTAATATTTATTTGCCAAATAAAGTTAATGATGTGTGAGGAAAATCTGTATGTAACATTATAGGATTTTGTTCCTAGTTTGATTTCATTTCCTTAGACTGAGACCATAAAGATCCAATAAAGGAATCTAGCCAACTTTCAAAATCAAGGCCTGGTTCGATTGGAAGCATGCTTTTAGCAATCTTATCTTCATATGTAGCTGCTAGTTTTGCTATACCAAAATACAACTGATCAAAAGTAGAAACGTGAGGTTGAAATGGGAGTACAAAGTGAGTTGACAAAATACAGGGATTCTATTTTAGAATAGTCATCTTTTAATCTCACTACAATATTAAATTCATGTATTACTTTATTATGGATTGGAAAATAAAAATACCCAATAATTATTAAAGAAAATTCTGGGGGCAAAGAATAACTTAAAAAATACCAAAATAAAATTAAGGAAACAATTTTATATGTACAAGTAACAAGGTAACATGAAAGACAGACACATATCTTACATCAAAAATTCTAGGAAGTAAAAGCTGCCCCAGAAACAGTGAGGCTATATAGACTGCTCAAAGTCCAGGAAAAAAAATTATCCTAAGCCATGCTTTTAGATTTTCTATACATTTAAAATTATAAGAACAGTTACTATAAAAAAACACTACTTTGGATTGCTTACCAAAGGCTTTAAGAGTTCACTTAAAGTATTTATTGAGTGGCTAAACCCTACTGTAAGATCCCATACTAAGCTAAAGATCTGAAAAATGAAACAAGTCTCATAATTTTTAATTGCATATTATATGTCATTTTCAAATTTTCCTGGTTCCATGTGGAATAATATACTGAATTTCAAATGCCCACAAAAATCTTCTTGTACCAAAATTTTGAAAAACTGACTTCAATTGCCACATTTAAAAAAATAATATACGCTCACTAAAGAAGCTAGGAAACCTTTACAGCTATTATTGAAGTGGAAGTTAAGAACAGAAAACCTTGATTTTCAGTAATGACAAGTTGTATGCCAGTGGGAATAGTACAGTCTCTCATTTGTCAAAAAGATACTACCATTAGCCCTATTTCACTCATAGTGACTAATATAAGCATGAGATGAGACAATATATATTATCTAGACATGCAAAAATGACAAAATAATCTTCACAACAAATGCATGAAACCATTATCTTCATCATCAACAAGAAAATCTACTTAATCTTAGCATCAGTTTTCAAACCACTTCAATGTATGCTTTAATAAATAAATACTAACAAATTAAGACTATTACAAGCCCATGGATATAAAACAGCCCACACAAGCTACTGACTGCTAAATCTTACAATACAATCTCAAAGTGGCTGCAAAGACCTACTATACTGCAGTATGTTTTTATGACAGCCAATAAAAAGGTTTTCGTTTAAAACAAACTACTCATAGTATAGTGGATAATCTTTCTAGTAATAGTTTATCTTTAAAAAATGCCATATATTTAGGACATAGGCAATTTGGCTATCTAAACCATTAAATAATTAGTAATTATTGGTTCAGAATCTACAGACATTTCATTCAAAAATAATACCATATGGCTATTTCAAAATTCCATTGGTCCATAAGTAAAGAATCATACTTAGCATATAAATAGAAGACATGAAGTAGAAAAAGCAAAGTAAAGAGGGTACAGATTTCATAATAAGACACAATGACATGAAAAGTAGACAATTCAAGTATAATAGTGAGATGAACTCCATAAAAATACACAAACTGCAGACTTTTAAGAATCAGGAAACCCAGGAGAGTAGTGTAAAAGGAAAGAAATAATAATGACATATAAACATAGCATCAAGTTGAGTACTCCCTTCCAGGAGAAGATTACTTTTATATTTACTATAGCTCCTGGTAATATGCCGCAGCTACGAAAAGGATACTTCAGCAGAGGGAGAGAGAAAGAAATGTATGCATTGAGATGGATTCAGTTTTTAAAAGTTCTATGAATGCAGCAAATTATTTTTTGTTCTTCTGAGTTATCTATAAACAAAGTAGGAAAACTGGCATGTTTGCTCTATGAAACTATGTAAGTCTACCTACCACCCATCCCAAACAAATCAGTAACTCTCCTTTCCCCAACCTTTATCACATTTTCAGAATTTAAGGCATAAAAGAAAAATATATATTACAGCAAAACAGGAATATATAAAAAATACTGCCACATCACACATATAACAATATCTCTAAGTGGACCGTTGTCATCTGCTTTTTATTGCTGTTACTGTTTGTGGTAAGAATTTATAAGGTGATTCTACATAGAGAGAGAGTGCTTTCTTCCACCAATCCTAGCATACAACCTTTACTAGGATGGTGGTACCCACTAAACAAAAGAGTTAAGAATTTCTGGTTTACTTAGGCATGATTTTAAAAGACTCAAACCTTTGCTGAAGATTCCTTGAGATCGACGAGACTGTCCTGTAGAAAATGAATGGAGATGACAGGTGAGCTGGCATAGTTCTCAGAACCCAGAGGAACTTTGGGAAGTGTGTCTGTAACCTGGAAACAAACCAGCTATTGCTTGTGAGGATAAATTCCAGGAAATCATTATCAATATGAATATCAGCAATAAAAGCAAAATACAAAACCATATAATGGAATTGTAATGTTAAAAATGTACAAACATTAAATATAGAAAATTAAAATTTTTTTAATTAAAAGTTAAAAATAAATGTCAATGCCACACATTTCATTTTAAGTAACTAAGAGGCTTTAAAAAGGCAAAATACTTCTCTCCACTAAAAGCTGAAAACAGTGGAAGAAAATTGACTAATATTTTCATTGTTATTCTCTAATTAGAAGATCTTCAAATTTTATCCATTCACAACTCCAATAAGTATAAATATTTTATTCTAGCTACAAAATTCAGTGGCAATACAACAAAAATATTCTATAAAACAGTAATCAGTATTTTGTTGCAAAGTACCATGATTTGAATCTCATGCCTCTCACAAGGAAAAAAAAGTTTAAAAAGAAGAAGAAAAAGACACCAATTATAGTATTCCACCACAGTGCTCTGGACGAAGAATTAATTAACTTACAGTTTCAAAAGTTCAACGTACTGCAAATTCAAAGATTCCATGAAATTAGATGACTTTAGAATTAAAATTAAATATGGAGCAAGGAATGGCTACCCTGAGTCTTCAAGAAGGCTACACCCACGATTTTGTGCTGCAGTTGAATGCCTGGGATTTCTTTGCTGGGTGGTAGGACTGGATGCCACATCTGCTCTTATCGTAACGCAAGGTTCAACTTGTTGGGAACCCAATGGGTATAAACAAACCTCCAAGGGAAGATACAACAGAAGCTGCATGCTCACTGAATAAACACAACTACAGGAGAACTGATCACCAAGGAGACTTTAAAATGGAACTCCTTTCAAGACTCCTTCTTAGAAGGCACATCGGAATGATGCTCATCAAGAAGCTTGATGAATTCAGAGGTATCTTGTTTATCGTATATCATTCAGGAAGTCTTCAGTGCTATATAATCTTCAACATTTATGCCGAAAAATAGCTTCATTCTGCTGAAAACATTCGTTTGCTTGTAGCTACCATTGCACTCCAAAAAGGACTGCTTAAAGCAGTTGAGGCACTTCTGGGTAAAATTTCTCTTGCACTTTGAAACACAATAAAATTAGTGCTAGGTCCTTGAAGTTCTAACATTTTTTTTTATTATAAAAATACTTAATAGGAAAAATTAGTCCACCAATACAGAAAAATTTCATTTTCTAATGCAATATAAAACCTCCAGTGGCTCCAGTGAATACTTGGCACAAGACTTGAAGGAAGTCAGGACATTGGTATTCCAAACAGGTGAGCCTAATACGGATGCTGCCTTCCTCAGGCTATACTAACCTTTACTGTGGAGGAATGTGATGGAGAAGGATGAGTATCAATTTTGCGGCGTTTTTGTTCTGTTTGGATAAAAAGAAATAGTTAGAATGAGGGATATTTCTAGTCATTCCAAACACTTCAAAAAGTGAACAAACACTAAGATAAAGTATTTGTTGCATTAGCAAAATCACTAACTTATCAAGACAATGAGATAACCAACAAGCATAATTAGAACAAAAAGTACAGAAATATACAAAAGAAACACTTGCCCCTTTCAGTCTCCGAGATATCTGATCTGGGAACAGGTGACTTCAAGGACCCTGAAACTGGCGTTTTTTCTCCTCCTTTAACATTTTCCTTTGACTTCATTTCCTTTGCTATATCTCTTTCTCTGGATGGCTCCTTTTCTCTTTCTCTTTCTTGAGATGACTTTAATTCTACGCTGGGGGGTGTGGTCTTGAATTTCTCATCTTTAGCTTTTTCTTCCTTCTTGAATTTTTCTTTCTCTTTGTCGGACTTAGGCGTTCTTTCCTTTGTCTCTCTTGCTTTTTCATCTTTATTTGGCCGCTCTTCCTTTGCTTTTTCTTTACCATCTTTACCAAGTACCCTGGCCTCTGGAGTTGTAGCTGGAGTCTTTTCTTTTTTCTCTTTTTCTTTCTCTTTTACTTTCTCTTTCTCATTTTCTTTAACAGCTTTGTTGCTTAAGAATAAAAAAAGGCAAATAATTATCAAATATATCCCATATTTAAAATCATAAAGAAGCCGGGTGTAGTGATGCATGCCTTTAATCCCACTCAGGAGGCAGAGCTAGGTGGATCTCTGTGAGTTCAAGGCCAGCCTGGTCTTCAGAGTGAATTCCAGGACAGCCAAGGACACAGAGAAACCCTGTCCCCCAAAAACAAACAAAAGAAAATCATAAAGGGTTTTTATTGACTTAAAAAAAAACCCTGTGACACTAAGAGGAACCCTCAGAAAAATAAAGAACAGCTTTAGGATAAGTACTTCTTGACATGAAGAAAACAAAACAAATTCATGAATATACGTGATTGAAATAATGATTAATAATTATACTAAATAATATTAGATTAACTTGTACATATTCACAACCTTTGAGGACAAAAAGTAATGGCAAAAAATACATCCAACAAACCAACTAAAGGCTCTATCAGTAAACAGACTGCTAAAAATATATGGGCTACTTTCAAATTTAACTTTTTCTTATATTAATAAGCCTTACTCAGATTGGCTAGTCGAAGCAGTGTATCCTGTAACTTCTCAAAACTTTGCCATTATATCCTGAATCTCAGCAGGAAAAATAAGGCTGTTAAAATGTAACCATATAAACTAATAGTAATAAGTAAATTATGAAAATTATAATAACAAAATTCTCAAAGTCTAGTACACTTGATTTTGTACTGCTCAATCACAACCGCCTACCCTTCCATTCATGACTAATGAGGTCCACATAGGAGAATCTAGGGGACTTCCAGGTAAAATGATAGGCTGAAGAAGCCTGAATAAAAAGTAGACTCTATTCAAAATGTTTTACAAAAGGAGACAAAGACATGTATAAACTCGCAAAGGTACCAGACACACACTTAAAATGCTACAAAAGAGGAACCCTCAGAAAAATAAAAGTTATCTGAAAAGTACAGAGTAAAAGACACAATTCTTGGTTATTTCCAAGAAACACATATATATCATTGCTAGAAATACCAAGAGTGAGACTCAAAAGAAAGAAGTCAATCTACCCAGTGAGTAAAAGTCAAAATTAAGCTGGCATAGGCCTTCTGGTAGCTAGCAAAGTAGAATTCAAATAAAAAATTGGAACAGTTTAATAATGTAGCTATATATGAATGAATCAAGAATACGCAAGAATCATAAACCACATAAACTGCATAATTAAGGCTGTGAAGTTCATAAAACAAGCATTAATGTGCATTCACATTCACATTGGTCCTGATACAGTAAGAGTGCATCATTTTTACATTCCACGGTCAAATTTATATAGGTCATTCAGACAAAAAATCAACAAAGAACTGCAGAATTAAACTATACCAAAGAGCAAATGGATTTAGGAGATAAGCTGGAGAACATTTCATCCAATGGAAACAGGATCTCTAAAAGAGATCTTACTCTGACCACAAGTATGTCTTAAGAAATACAAACCTGGCCTGTCCCACCCACTGAATCCCCAGAGACCTGAGGGGAGCCCCAAACCATCCAGCACTGCATCTCCCACCATTGGAGCCTTGGACCCACCCCCACTGGAAGAGGAAGATCAACCCCCTAGGCCCCACCTACACCAATTAGGGGAAAAGAGATTCCCTGAATCACAAGTCCCACCTGCACCCACTGGAAGAAGGGATAGGAAGATGACAGTTTAAGAATACATTCAACAACAGAAAGAGCAAGATGACACCACCAAGAGTCTAGGGGTTCTACACAAGCAAGACCTAAACATACCAACATTGACGAAGCAAAAGAAAACTGCATCAGAAACAACTTTATGAAGATGATAGAGTCCCTTAAAGAGGAAATGAGACACTCCCTTAAAGAAATGGAAGAAAAGGCAAACAAAAATGGGAGAAATGGAGGAAAAGACAAACCAAAAAATTCAAGAAATCAACAAATCTCTTAAAGAAAGCAAGGAAAGCCAAGAAAAAATAATCAAACAGGTGAAGGAAACAATTCAAACAGTTCAAGACTTGAAAACTGAAATAGAGGCAATAAAGAAAACACAAATTGAGGGAATGCTGGAAATAGAAAATCTGGGTAAATGATCAGCAACTACAGATGCTAGCTAGCATAACCAACAGAATGCAAGAGACAGAAGAAAGAATCTCAGGGGTTGAAGATACACTAGAGGAAATAGAGTCATTGACCAAAGAAAATGTTAAATCCAACAAATCCCTAACACAAAATATCCAGGAAATATGAGGCACCGTGAAAAGGCCACACCTAAGAAAAATAGAGGGGTGAAGAAACCCAGCTCAAAGGCGCAGAAAACATGTCCAACAAAATCATAGAAGAAAACTTTGCCAACCTAAAGTGCATGCCTATGAAAGTACAAGAAGCTTACTGAACACCAAATAGACTGGACCAATAAAAAGTCCACTTGCCACATAATAATCAAAACACCAAACTTACAGAATAAAGAAAGAATATTAAGAGCTGAAAGGAAAACAGCCAAGTAACATCTAAAGGCAGACCTATCAGAATTACACCTGACTTCTCAATGGAAACTCTGAAAACCATAAAGTCCTGGATAGGTATTCTACAAACACTAAGAGACCACGGATACCAGCCCAGACTACTATACCCAGCAAAGTTTTCAATCACTATAGATGGAGAAAACAAGATACTCCATGACAAAACCAGATTTAAACAATATGTATCCACAAATCCAGTCCTACAGAAAATACTGGAAGGAAAACTCCAACCCAAAGAAGTTAGCTACACTCACAAAAACATAGGCAATAGATAATCCCACATTACCAAAAGCCACATAAAGGGAACGACACACACAATACCACCACCACCAATAAATCCAAAACTAACAAGAATCAACAATCATCGGTCATTAATATCCCTTAATATTAATGGTCTTAACTTGCATATAAAAAGACACAGGCTAACAGAATGGATACAAAGAATCCATCCTTCTACTGCATACAAGAAACACACCTCAACTTCAAAGACAGACAGTACCTCAGAGTAAAGGGTTGGGAAAGGATTTTCCAATCAAATGGAACCAAGAAACAAGCTGGTGTAGCTATCCCAATCTCTAACAAATTAGACTTCAAACTAAAATTAATAAAAAGAGATGAAGAAGGTCATTTGATATTGGTCACAGGAAAAATCCATCAAGATGAAGTCTCAATTCTGAATATCTACGACCCAAATACAAAGATACCCATATTAGTAAATGAAACATTACTAAAACTCAAATGAGACATAAAATGCCACACACTTATGGTGGGAGACTAACACCCCACTCTCACCACTGGATAGGACTACCAGACAGAAACTTAACAAAGAAATAAAGGAACTACCAGAAGTTATGACCCAATTGGGTTTAACAGACATCTATAAGAGCATTCCACTCAAACACAAAAGAATACATCTTTTTCTCAGCGCCACATGGAACCTTCTCTAAAATTGACCACATACTTGGCAGCAAAGCAAAACTCAACAGATACAAAAAAATAGGAATAACCCCCTGTATCTTATCAGATCACCATGGTTTAAAGATATAATTCAACATCAACACAAATTGCAGAAACTGTGCCAACTCATGGAAAATGAACAATGCTCAGTTATGTCACTCCTGGGTCAAGGAAGAAATAAAGAAATTAAAGACTTCCTAGAAATCAATGAAAACAAAGGCACAACATACCCAAAATTATGGGACACTTTGAAAGCAGTGCTAAGAGAAAAGTTCGTAGAACTAAGTGCCTACATAAAGAAACTGGAGAATAGTCACACTAGCGATTTAACAGCACACCTGAAAGCTCTAGAACAAAAAGAAGCAAATTAACCAAGGAGTAGTAGATGCCAGGAAATAATCAAATTGAGGGATGAAACCAATAAATATGATCCTATTCTTAAGAGCCAGAAGGCTAAGCCAGAAAATCCTTATTCCTAGTAAACACATTCAGCAAATCAGCAACATACAAAGTAAAATAAAAATTAAACGCTCTACTTAGCAAGGATGAAATTGATGAGGAAGAAATCATCCACAATAACTTGAAAGAAAACAAAATACTTAGGAATAATCCCGAGGAAATAAAATACTAGGGAAACAAGAAGTAAAAAGAGACAAATTGAAGTCAGGATTCTTATTTTAACATTATTTTTTTTATTTTCTAAAGGGAAGGAATAAGACAGATATGAACTTGGGTGAGTGGGGAGGTGAGGAGGATCTGGGAGGAGTTGGGGTAGGGAAAAACACAATCACAATCTATTTTCAATAATAAATAAATAAATAACATTTAAAAAAAACTAAACTGCCTTGACCATAAAATGAAATTTAAAAACAAAAGAAAATTAAACCCCAGGCACATGGATTGGAAGAATCAGCATTGTGAAAATGGCTATTACCCAAAATGATCTACGTATTCAACACAATCCCCATAAAAATTACAGAAGCACACACACCTAAAACTGATAGAGGAATACAAAAGACCTAATCAATCCTTTTTTCTTTTCCTTTTATTTTTTTAACATACTAATCTCAGTTGCCCCTCCCTCTCCTCCTGCTCCCTCCCCATCTTCACCTCACCCCACCCCCTATTTGTTTCTTAAAGAGGGTAAGGCCCCCCATGGGGAGTCAAAGAAATCTGTCCCATCACCACCTTGAGGCAGGCCCAAAGTGCTCACCAATGTGTCTATAGTCTAATCAATCCTTAGCAGAAAAGGCAATACTAGAGGTATCACAGTATCTGACCCCAAATTATACAATACATCCATAGTAATAAAGACAGCATGCTACTGGCACAAAAACAAACATGCAGATCAATGTAGGCCATCAGAATAGAATATAGGAACAAGAAACTAATATACACAGCTACAATCACCTAATTTTCAACAAAATTATCAAAACCATAGATTGGAAGAAAGTATCTGCAACACACAGTACTGGGAAAACACAATAGTCATATGTACAAGAATGAAACTGGATCTCTATAACTCATTTCTGCTCATAATCAATTAAAAATGATCAAACACCTTAATGTAAGAGTTGAAACTTTTAAACTGCTAAAGGAAAATGTAGGGAAAACATTTCCAAGAGCTAGAACAGTAACCAAGAACTAACAAATAGGGTTACATGAAATTAAACTTGTACACAGCTAAGGAAACAATCATCACAGTGAATAGACAGCATACAAAACAAGGGGGAAAGCATTGTCAATTAACTAGCAAACAGACAGGAGACTGATATTTACAATAAAGAATTGCTAATAACTCTCCAAATTTTTACCTAATAAATAAAAAAGGTCAATAAATAAATGGACTGATATACTGCGCATAAAAGGAATAGAAATAGCCAATAAGTATTTGAAAAAGTGTTCAACATCTTAGCAGTCAGAGAAATGAAAATTAAAACTGCTTTGAATCAGTCAGAATGGCTCTCATTAAGAAACTTATCAAAAACAAAAGTCAGTGAGAATGTTACACTTATAAATTGCTAGTGGAAATGTTAACTAGAGAAGTCAGTGTACATGTTTAAGAATAAAACTATCTCAGCTAGTCCACCCCTCAGTATAAAGGACTCTATAACTCAGCATAACATGGAGATACTCATACATTTTGTTTATTGCTGCACTAGTCACAATAAATGGAGCCAGCCTATGTGTCTATCAACAGATTCACAGGTAAAGAAAATGTGGTATCAACTAAACACTGAACTGAACTCCTGAAATCCAACTGCAGAGATGGAGGAGTGATGAGCAAAGGGGTCAAGACCAGGCTGGGGAAACCCACAGAAACAGCTGACCTGAACAAGGGGGAGCTCTTGGTTCCCAGACTGATAGCTGGGAAACTAGCATGAGACTGATCCAGACCCCTGAAAGTGGGTGTCGGTGAGAAGGCCTTGGCAATCCATGGGACCTCTGGTAGTAGATCAGTACTTATCCCTAGCATACAAATGGACTTTGGGAGCCCATTTCACATAGAGGGATACTCTCTCAGCCTAGACACACGGGGGAGGGTCTAGATCTTGCTCCAAAAAGTTGTGACAGGCTTTACAGATTCCCCATGGAAGGCCTCTCCCTCCCTGGGGAGCAGAAAGGGGATGGGATAGGGGATTGGTGGGGGGCAGGGGAGGAAGAGAGGGATAGGGAATTGGGATTGACATGTAAAACAAGCTTGTTTCTAAATTAAATAAAAAATAGAAAAAAATAAAAAAAACAAGAAAATGTAGTATACATCCAAAATGAGATTTAACTCAGCGAAAATAAAAACTGAAATGATGGCAATTGCTGAAAAATAGATTCAGCTGGAAATATTTACATTAATTGAAATTAGTCAGGCTCAAAAAGATGAATAACATGTGTTGTTTTATACATGGAACCTAGATTAACATATGTATATTTACATGAAACTAGAAAAGGGACCAAGAAAGAACACATCTTAAGAGAGGGACGAGAGGCAGAAAGATGACGGAATACATGTGGCATAAGAGGAGAAGGGAAATTATTTGGAAATAAGGTGACTAGTAAGAGACAGTGAGGCTGGACAGTGGTGGCACACGCCTTTAATCCCAGCGCTCAAGAGACAGAGGAAGGCGGATCTGTGTGAGTTTGAGGCCAGTCTGGTCTACAGAGTGAGTTCCAGTACAGACTCCAAAGATACAGAGAAACCCTGTCTCGAAAAAACAAAACAAAACAAAACAAAACAACAAAGAGAGACAGTGAGAGTAAAGGAAGACACTTGGAGAGCATATTAGAATAAAGTTTGAGACATACATACAGAAATGCCAAATACAACCCTTTACTGTATATGCTAAGTTAAAAGGTAACTTTTTTAATGAGAGATTTTGAGTTAGGGAGATGGCTTATTTGTAAAGCACGGGTCGAGCTCAACTTCCTAGAACTCACTCAAAGACCAGCACAAAATCACTCATCTATAATCCCATTGGCTCCTATGGTAAAATGGGAGACAGAGAAAAGAGAATTTTTGAAAAGCTCACAGGACAGCAGGCCTGGTATAGGCAGGAAAATAAATCCAATTTCAAACAAGGAATAGGTGTGGAGTAATAGCTGAGGTTA